ACAGCCGCGGAAATACTGAAGAACAGTAATATCACACCGCTTTGTGGCAAATGCATTCATGATTAGAGTTTCCAGTGGAGAATTTGGAACATTGGGGAGCAGAAATGAGTAAATTGGTTTTTAAAGCAAACATTTTCTTGTTATTCGTTCATAAAACTATGGTTCATGCTTTAACCAGAGTTTAGAAAAATTTAACAAATTTTCATAAAAATTTTGAGCTTTTTAATTTAATTTTTTTAAGTTTTTTTGAAGATGCTTTTTTATAGCCCATTTTACTATAATAAAGCGTAAGTTTCCAGCGGCCGCAAAATCAGGTTGATTTTTAATAATTTTTTTTTACTGTCTAAATAAATACCCGCTAATTTCGTATGTTACTTCTAAATAATAGAGTTCGCTCATTAAATTATGTTTTACTTATGCAAGAAAGGCACATTTAAATTTTACACATTTGGATGTTTCGAAGTAATTTTGAGAAATATCAAATAAATATTCTGAGGAAACATATAGGAAGGACTGCTCCTTCTATTAAGCCATTTTACGCAAGAAGGGCACATCTCAATTTTAGTCCTTATTGTATCTACCTGGTCAACTGTAAATCGTTATCTTCTATTTTATCCACAATAAGAGTAGGCAAAGTGCATGCAAACAGACAAGGCCCTAACGCACTTTTATTTGCACCTAAGATTCATCCTAAAGCGGTCAGATAACTTACAATCCATATAATAGTATAGGAAAAGCAAATACTAAGCATTCGACCAAATATTATGTTTCAAAAAAATAAGCGTTTCGACTAAAAACGGAACCAGAAAACTCGACGTTTTATTAAACTTTCAAATTGCTTTCGAAGTGGGGATTCGTTAAGTTAGGGCCTTTCTATAATGAAGTAACGATATGTATATGAAAATGTATAAATATATTATATATCGCTCATTTACTTAAAAACTGTCAGACCAAATTTTTTCAGTCTTTTAGAAAGCTTTTTTATTACTTCACCTGTTTAGAATTTCACCATGGAAATGCATCAGCATAAATACATACATATGTACGTACGTATACTAATTTTAAGGATTACTTAAATACTACCTTCAAAGAATTTTAGCTGCATTCGCATCTTATATGCACATATACATATGGACAGAAAAGAATACCTCATAAAGGAAACCACGTAATTAAACGAAATAAATGTTTTATGAAGCCAAGTTAAACATTTTTTTGTTTCTATTTGCCCAATGTTTTTGCGCGTTTAAACGATTTAATGTTTTCTTCTACATACGTATGTATATCCTATATATATATATATAGTTCCTGCTCCTTTTCATTTTTGTATATGTATGTATCTATAAATGCATGTGGTCCAAAAACAAAAAAAATCACACAATTCAAAACTATCTCAAAGCACACAATTGAATTTTTAATGAAAATTAGAAAATGCCAACTTAAAAAGGGTTAAAAGTTATTCATCATTTGACATTATAGTCGGTGTTCAAAAGAGAGAAATGTCAAAATCACTTCTACCTTGTTTAATATGCCTTGGTAATAAATTTTTCAACAATTTAAACTGTGATATTACAAGTGCCAATAATCAGAAACTTCCAAGTGGTTCAAACGGTCTTAAAAATAATAAATAACATATATCAAACTTCAAGTAGCACCCCAGATTTGTCGGTGAATAAAGAAATAAATGGTGTTAAGACTCTTTTTAGTGAAGAATTTTTCAAAATTACTGATACATGAAGAGAACTCCTCATCAAAGAAGAATTTGTGGCTTGATTGCTGTTTGCCAGGTGTGCTAATTTCCTCGGTTATAAGGTGATGATTTGTAATAAGTACGTATATACTATGTATATTATTATTTTTGCTTTCTGCTGCTTACTGCTATTTTTCAGTAGTCAGTAAAATTTTACGGTAACACATTTAATTTTTGACAAATTTTTTCTATGAAAAAATGTTAAGCTTTATGTTATCAGTAATCGTTTTTTCTAACATGTTGAACAATATCTGGTGAATTAACCTACTTAATGTTTTTATTTTCAGGCAAATGCTAAAAAGGTGCAAGTTCCTGAACAGGTACACGGCTGAGTGGTCATACATACGCCCCAGCTTTTGTAAGACGTACTGCAGCAGGCCTTTTGGAGATGTGCTTTTAAAGATGATCTTTTAATACATAAAAATCACCCTTCTTTGAAGAATTTATTTAAGGGTGATAACAAATATGTTTTACTGAGAACTAAATAATATAAACATACTAATACTTAAGTACATTCGCGTAAATTGCTAAATTGGAAAACCTTTTCTAGGAGGCATCTTTCTATTATGCATATACAAAATGGAAAAAATGTTCATAGAGCGCATTGTAGGACATGTAGAAATTCGATAAAGCTGGTAAGGCAAGCATTGAAGACCACGTTAAAGGCGCTACATATTTTTCCAAGTTACGTCACAGTTTTTCATACATACATTGCTTATAATATCAGACATTTCTTCAAAATAATGCAATCCCAAAACCAAAGCAACTGTACTTATGAGGAATATATTGATTGAATTCTGAATGTTTGATTTGGATGATAGGTGTCCTGGTCGATGGGTTCAGGCTTATAGCAACCCTATGCTAACCTCTCTCACTAAACCGGATTTTCGCGGGTTAGTGTGCATGGGAAACAGTTTTTGATCAAATGTCATAAAAATTTTACCAAAATATAAGAAGAAGCATCTCTCTAGTGAGTGCTACTTCGTCCACGACCTACACATGTGTGATAAATTTCTTTTCAACCGCATTCGGTAAGCTGTAAGTCAACGTCCGCTTAATCGCTCTTGATAAGAATAATATTAAGAATACGCATATTTACTGCTTCTTAACTGTTTCCACTTCAACAAGAAAAACAAAGTAAGTTTAAGTGCCCTTTTTGTTCTTCCTGAATAACTTATTACACGGTGGTAATTTGTTGGCGTCTGCAATCAAGCAGCGGGCGGGCGGCGGCTTATGGTTGATTCTCTTTTCATATTTTTATTTTTGACTTTAAACGAGAAAATTAAAATGCAGTGTGTTAAGTAAATATGTACTTACATATGTACATGCAAATGAAAGACTGTAAGTAAACATATGTACATAGTAGTAAGTATGTAAATAAATGCCAGGGCTTGTAATTTAATGGAGTTTGTGTGCAGGCGAAATGGCAAGGACTGATATAAAGTGTGCATGCATCACGATATATGTATATATGTATGTATGTATGTAGATATGTGTGTTTTCTGTGACATTTTAAACTCAAATCCAGCAGAAAACTAAAGCAAAGGGCAACAAAAACAATCTCACATGACACTTTCATTCATTCAATCTCTCTCTCTCTCTGTGTGGCGCACATATGTATGTATGTACACACATTGGTGTACACAACTCATCTCATTAAGACGTGCTTTGTAAATTTTAATTTTAATAATAAAATGTTGTTGAGCCACCAGTGGTACACCCAAGAGTGATATGAAATAAGTATAAAACATTGCACATGGCAGACAACAGCTGAGACAGACAGGTAGGGAAGTGTGTGCGGCAAGGGGAAGAAGTAAAATACACAGGATGCACGTAGGATATGCATTTCTCTCAAACAACTGCACATGTTCTCTATGCAGTATGTGCATATGTACATTAGGGTGCATCATTCTCTATACAAATAAAAAAAAGCTCACTTTTTTCCAACGGAAATATACAGTTCATTATATTTTAGGACTTCTGCCAAACAGGGACCGTAACAGTTACAGCTTTTATTAAAACAATCGCTCTTTAACAATTATTTTTCTACTTTTATTTAATTACCTACTCCTTAAATAATCGTTATTTCTGACTTTTATTTTATAAATCCAAAATAACAATTATTTTTGATTTTTATCTAAATAATTGAAAATTACAGTTATTTTTGATTTTTAAATTGCATGTCTCAGCTGAGCTGGAACTATTTGAAAATATCTTCAAAAATCGAGTTAAAAAAAAATTGTTTTTAAAAATATTTTTTCTAAAAAATCAGCTCAAATCATAGAGGAGCTTAAGCGTATGAGGTCTGCATAAAATTGTTTAAAAATTCTATCAATAAAATCAAATGGATGAAAATATGTACTGAGATTTTCGGAGGTATTTCACCGTGCGACAAACACAAAACAAAAAAAATCTAAACTCATGAAGCACTTAATATATAGCCACGAAACTGTGTGCCAAATATAATTAAACGGCGTCTTCAGTTTTTCTCTCTGACGTAAGGATTTTTTAAAAGGACTTTGTAGTTTCAAAGATATTATTAATTACAAAAATCATTTAAAAAATTCGTTCCAATGTAGAAAAACAGTATGGGCAGCAAATGAAAGAGAAAATTCTGTAGAATTAAAAAAATAAAATTTTTTGGTTCACAAGGACGTATAGGTATTGAGAATGTCATTTTAATTAGTTTTATTTTTTTTAAGTGAACAAAGTTATAAGGACGGGGATGTGGTCGATTGCATATTAGTTCTTAAAATATAATTTTTTAATTATTGTAAAATTTTGATGATGTTCAATGATAAAATGTGCAAAGGACATTTTCAGTAACTAATCGTCCTTATAAACCAAAAAATTTAATCGGCCTTAATTCTGCAGAATTTTCTCTTTCATTTGATAGACATAATGTTTTGCTATATTGCCTTGAAATTTTTTAATAATTTTTTGAAATAATTATATTTTTCAAATTTCAAAGTCCTTCAAAAATACCCTGGCGTCAGAGAGAAAAACTTAAAACGTAGTTTTGCTATATTTGGCGCATGGTTTCGCGAAAATATAATTTTTTTTGTGTGTAAAATTTACCGCCGCACGGTGTTTTCAAATCCGTCTAGCTCACATAAATTTAAAAATTTTGACGGAGGTCTTAAAATATAATAAATTATATAATTCCGTTGGAATGCAGTTTTTCCTTATTTGTGGCAACGCATCCTAATGTATTTACAAATGTTTGTTCGCATGTATGTTTGTTTGTACATACCTGATACCGCCGCGCGTCACATCATAGTTGAGTATATCATCGCCATGCTTCCAGAACACGACCGATGTGGCCATGGCGACATTGCGGACGACACATGACAGCTGCAACGTTGAATCGATTTCGTAATATTTTTCCTGTAGTGGATCACCGAACTCGTCAACAATCATCACTTTGGGTGCTAAGGGATTTGCGGATGCGGAAAATATGTGGACACAAAAAAAAAATAGAAAAAGAGAAAGAAGAAAAAATAAAGCAAACATGAAATAAAAGTAAGTACAAAGTGATGTAATCAAATGTGTTTACAAGTAAGTATAGAATCGTTAATAGTTATACATATGTATGTATACCCTACACAGCACACTCGATTTGCAACTGGCAGCCCCCTTACACACTTTCCTAAATCACTTTGTTGCGGGTGTAAATAAATTTGTATGTAAAATGCAAAAAATTCTTTATGGTTGTAAGTGAGGGCGAGAGCATAAAGCGCAATTGCACTTAAATATTTGTATACATATATTTTTTTTTTGGAAACATGTGGTTGTTTATGTAACTTATGATGTATATACTCGTATGTAACTCATGCCATTAAATCGCATATTTATCAGCGTGAGCGCACTTACATGCACACCAGAATCGTTTAAATCATTCAATTCAGCAAAAGTAATAGTCATCGTTCAACAAAAAAAAGATCAACAGCAACAACCACCACAGCGGCAGGAACAAGCAGAGAAAAGCGTCAACACTATCCGATTTAATGACATGCTGCGTTGTGTTGTCGTGGCACTTATCAACATTTACCACTTACTCGTATTACTTTGAGTTATCAGCACCCACACACACCCACAAGCCTATACAGTGGAGGAAACGGAATTACGTGCATTAAAAAAAAATAATAATTTATGGTAGGTGCGGATAAGTCCGTTAGTTCGAAAATGCCGAAAAAACGCGAAAATCTCGAAAAAGTTCGGAAAAGTCCCGAAGAAATTAAAAAAAACTAAAAATAAATATCAAAGAAACTCGTGAAAATGCACCACGAAAAGTATCTGAAAAAATCCCGAAAATTCCGAAAATATTCATACAAACTTTTTTTATCCAGGAACAAATGCTGAAAATTTCCGAAAAGTACCGAAGAAATACATGAATGAAAAAAAACCAACTATAGTTCTAAAAAAAATGTCGAAGCGTTCTTAAAGGTCTCGAAAAAACTCCTCAATTTCGTAAAACCTAGAGTAAAAATTCCGAAAAATCCTAAATAACTCCTAATAAAGCATTTTCTACTTATATGTGATATGTACATTAATTTAGTAATTTACTTCAATGCAGTGATAACTCAGAATAGCGAAACTGGAGAAAAACGGCTTTAAAGTTTTGAATTTACATACATATACTCCCATAGTGAAAATGAATGCATATTTTGTTCTAATGAGATACTGGTAATCGGTGCAGCTTTGAAATTAATTTTTACACAACATAGAAAAAGAGGTGGCGGTAATTTCTACATACTCAACTCAAAATTTATATTTTTTGGATTATGTCACTATTGAAGTAAATGAGCGATATGTCGTTACCTTGATATACATATGTATATATGTAGAAAGACCCTATCCTGACCTCCCGGATATATAAAAAAACTCGAAATAAATTTCTGAAAAAATCTCAGTCCTAAAAAGTCTTGAAAAAATTCTTGAAATTCTTCGAACCTCTAGAAAAAAGTCCGAACAAATTCCAAAAAAACTTCTGATAAAATCTTAAGAAAAATGTGGAAAAAACCAAAAAAAAAAACATTTTATCAATGGCTAAAAAACTAAAAGCACAGATACACAATTTTTTCTTCTCTAAACAATAAATGCCAATTTTTTTATGTTAATTTATTTTCTTTTTAATTTAATTTATAGGTTTTAATGGTATACTCTTCCTTATTTTTAATTCCATTGTTTGATTAAATTTTTAGGTAGTGTTTAAAATATGTTAGTTTAAAAAGTAAAATATTTTATCTAAGTTTCATTTAGTTTTTAGAAACTTATTTTATCTTACAATTTTTTTTTATTTAATTTTCTTTTAATTTTAAGATCTTTTTTTATTGTTATTGTTGTTCAGGAAAAATAAATTTATATTTTTCTAATTACAATTAATTTTTGGAACCTTTTTAAACCTTTATTTATTTTCTTTTTAATCTAATTTTTAGATTTTATTGCTTTATAATGAAAAATGTGATTATTTTTTTTTTAATTTAATTTAGTTTTTAGATTATATTGCTTTGGAAAGAAAAATATGTTTATATTATTTAATTTAATTTAATTTAATTTTTCGAATTTTTTTTTCTTTATTTATTTTGTTTTCAATTGAAATTTTTTTTGGTTGTGAAGATTTTTTTTTTTAATTTCGCTTAAATTTTAGATACCTATGTTTTTTCTTGAGATTTCTAGATTATATTTTTTAAAAAAGAAAAAAAAATCGATTTAATTTAATTTTAAGTAACTTATTATTTAAAAAAAATGTCTAAAATCTTCAGATTCCTAATCAGCGACCACTAAATGTTTTTAATGCAGCTGTGAAATCGGCGGATATATGCCGACAATCAAGCAGAAGGTTTTAAACTGGGAATGATATTACTTTCGTTGCACAGTTCAATAGGTAGTTAATTTTAGGAAGGAACAACGTCTGACGGGCTTGCTAGTAATATCCTAAAAATTAAACCTTTTTGCATTCAGTCCCTTTACTGTAACGAATTATGTCCTACCACCATACATACAATTTTCTCTTATCATGTCGCACATCACATCAAGTAACAATGTAATGCCACATCATCAGCTCATTACATTATCACTTTATGATTGCGTTGAGCCACAGGAAAGCACTGCGTTCACTTAGCCACGCGCCACGCTCTACACGTCATCCATACTCACCATTAACGAACAGATTAATTTGTATCACTCGCGGCGGATGTGTCGATATCTGACACTCATACATCGCTTCATCGTCCTTTTTTACATTCGTTATTTTCAGGCGCCAATTATTCGGATATTGAAACTCCATTTTATAGCGTTTGTCACCGGTGTAGGTGTGCAGACCGACCGTCAGCAAATCCAATGCATTTTCGCCCTGTGCATTGCGACGCACCCAGGACACCTAGGCAGCATAGGGAGAGTAAAGTATAAAAAACAGGATATTAGTTTAATATTCATAAAAATGGAAGAGCTTGTGATAGTGGGTGCAATGATAGTTAATATTATGTATAAAAAATATACTATATATGAAGTACTTAATGCAGCTACTATGTACCTGCAGACTTGGCCATGAATGTGTGCATTGGTTGCTCAACCACGCGTTTGCGTGCTGGCGGGTACATTTCTACTTCATCATCATCACTAACTCTGTTACGTGTAGTGTAGTGTAGTGCTTTTAATATGGTATTTCATTACTACAACAACACCTAGCGTACTTTCTTTTCATTTATTGTAGCGCTGCTGCCGCTGCTGCAGAGCTTTGTTGTCGCATGCATAATTGAGAAGTTACAAAGAAGAGTAGAAAAATGAAGCGCATATTTTAGCCTGCGAGCTTCAGTTGAAGTGCAATGGAGTGCAAAATAAAAGTGCCATGAACACCCACCAACCTGTACATACATATGTACGTAAGTAAAGGTGATACACTTATTCAACTAGTATTGCGGAAATGTTCACCAAGATGTTTGCACTTGTGTAGGTACTAGTGGCAATTCTTCTTCTCAAATTGCATGGAGACTGAAATTTATTAAAATCCTTGCATACTTGAATATATACATATACATAGATGTATATGTAAATGTTGAACGCAGTCCTTGCATACAGGTGGTTACGTCAATGAACAAAAAGTTCTTGAAGGCCACGTTCCCTTTTGCTTCAATGAGTTTAGTTATAAGCAACGTTTATCTTGGTGATGTTTAATGAAAGTTTACTTATAAATAAATATTCCAAGGCCTAGGCGCAACTTAGTGTCGCTTTAATATCAGAGAGCTTGAGTGAGTGTGATTTATTAAATTGAGGACTTCGTTTTAATTTTATCTGATCAGGCCTTGTAGAGAGTTGCGCAGAAACTCTCCCAAAGCTGTGGTTTTGTTGCTAAGTAAAACTATTTATTTGAAGAGGAAGTGCTCACCACTTTCCCGTCCATAGTCGTTTCTAAAACTTCTGCAAATATTACTATAATCTATGCATATCCTATGTTGTAAGACCCATTGTTTGGGCGCTTCTTCGTTTGGTTTTTGTGTAACTTAAAATCGAGTGCCATTTCTACTAAGAAAAAAAAAGCTATGGAAGTGTTCAGCTGGTAAAAATCTCTAGAAGACTGCACTAAGATATTTTGAAGAAATATAAAACGAAATGAGACAAAGAACACTGCTATGCTCTGGATTTCCTCAATTATAAAACTCTAGTGGCCTTCCCTGACATAGAAGCAGCTAATAACACTTTTGGTCTAGAAGGTATCCACAAGTTCTGGGAGGAGCTTTGGTGCCGAATGGTCTCATGGTTAATGGTGACGCTGCACAGCAAAATGACTTCAGCAAGACCGGGAAGCCGCATAGTAAAGAGGAACGTTAGTAAGGCGTAGTGATCTCGCCTCCTTTATGGCTTACCACCATCAACTTATTACTACTCAGCTCAGTCAGTGGGGAGTGAAAGTGGAACCTACGCCAAAGATGTGGCAATTTCAGTTACTATGCTATTTCAATCACTAATGGACGACATAATGGAAGTAAATCCATAAATAAAATAAGAAAAAACAAATTTTAAGTTAAAAGAACTGACTGAAAAGAAAGATAGTAATATTGTAGACAATGTACTAAAAGCTAAAAAAATAATTAGATAGGTTCTAGGTAGTAATGAATACAGCACTCTCCGCATCAGTCTATGGGCTAGATCAGCCTAAAAACTAAAATCGTGGGACACATAAATTTTCTTATATTATTACTCAGCTATGTTTGCACTGGTGTCTTTTGTGCATAGAACCAAATGAAAATCCGGTAGTTGGCGCTAGAGGAGAAATACTTTTAAAAACCGTATATACACCTAAGTTTAATTTAAATTCCGAGCTTGTGTTAGCAACGTAACAGGAAATATTTTATTCGAAAATGGTTACGATGGGTGTCGCTGGAGTCTAGATATCTTAAAAACACCGTATTTACATTCCAATTGTATTCAAATTCCGAGCATGTATTAGCTCCGCAAAACAAATATTTTGTTTGAAATTTTTTCCGATAGGTGGCGCTTGAGTGGAGATATCGTGGCAGCACTGCCAGCCACCTAGGTTTCAACCAAAGAAGCATCAGCTGTCAATATCATATTTTGATATTATCTTTAAGTCTAAGTCATTTTATTCTATTCGTTCGACTTGCAACCTGAGATCAAAAGTAAACGATTACCTTTCCAAACTTTCGCACTCCTTAACTGCAAAGAGCCTAATCTTCTCCCATACAAAATCGTCGGCAGCCCTTTTTTGAACTTGAACGAAAGAGGTCAGACAATACACTGAATAATCGAAAAATACTCGGGGAGCCGTAAGTAGGCCATCAAGTCACAAGACAAAGGTTGTTGGCAACATACAAGAAGATTGGCCGGACAGTTCTAAATTAAGCAGCGCCCGTGTGGTCGCCGCGGACTAGAAGGATGCAGTGGAGTGCAAAACGTGCCATTCGGGCTCGGTTCCATCCTAGACGCAATACCGTCTGAAATTAAAGCGCTGCCAACTGACTACATCCTGTCGAAAACCTGGTTTCACTATAAACCCCGCACGAAATTTCCAAGCCGCAGTGACTGGAATCAGGAAAATTTCGGGTTTGGCAGGGCCTAACTGTCTTTACGGATGGGTCAAAGATGGAATGCGGAGTTGGTGCAGGAGGTTTTGATTGAGAAATATAACCTAAAGTTATCCTTACGCCTACCAGACTATGCAAGCGTTTTCCAGGCCGAAACGTTTGATATTAAGGAGGCTGTAAGGTACATCAAAGAGAATGTACCCGCGGGAACGCAGGTGAACATCCTCTCGGATAGCCAAGCGGCTATTCAGACACTTTCTTCTACTTCTGTTATATCCCAACTAGTGGATGAATGTAGGAGAGAGCTGGCTTACATTTCTGATCAATACGAGATTACCCTAATATGGGTCCCGGAACACAGGGGCATCTACGGAAATGAGGCAGCGGATGAACTAGCAAGGAGCGGCTCCGCACTGAATGTGTCCTTCGCGGTGGGCATTGGCGCCTCGCTCAGGGAGATGAAGACAAAAATTACCGAAATTTATCAGTCGAAGGATTACCGGCCAGTTCTCGATATCCTACGACACACTTATTTAAAACCAAAGCTCTCTTAGGAATGAGCAAACCAGATGCCTATAAACTTACTGCAGTGTGCACAGGGCACTGGCCCGCTGGGGTGCATCCTGAAAAGATAGGACTGCCCTTTAATAAGTTTTGCCGCAGTTGCGATGACCCGGGCTCAAAAGAGACAGTCAAAAACTTGCTAAGCGAGTGTCTATCCCTCGCAAGGCAGAGGATAAAGACACTCGGCAAACCATTCCTGCATAATATTTCAGAGTGTAGTTCCCTCTAATTGCTAGTCACCAGGGTGACAATCCACTTAAACCAGCCAACTAGCCAACATGGGTAATGAGAATTTTCGCTCAATATTATTACAAACTTATTTTCTAATCTTAGGCATTAGTGCCTGAAATATATATTCACAGGCACTTCCGCAATTATCTACCATCGAGAGCCGGCAGATAGTATTCGGAAAACCTAAACCTGTCGTTTACGACTAGAGCGGTTGTTTCTGGGCTTGGCTGTTTGGCCCTCACGTCACAAGGAGGCTGTCATGGCCCAAAATGGCTGCGGAAATTGCAAGAGCCGAAACGTCTCACATCCTTGTAAGATCTGTCTAATTTAAGCCTCCATAACATTATCAACAATGCTAATTCAACTGTACCAATAAAACAATTTGATGACTTCATTATATGCAAACATTTTATTATTATTATTATTATTAAAGCGATTAATACTGTGAATGAGCGCAGCGCTGATACAAAGAAAAAAAATTGAGAATAAAACACGTGAAGATTGCGGGCTTAAAATACCATAACAATAGAATTAAGCTGCTTCTCAAACTTGCCACAACTTCTTCCGTCGAATTTAAATCACCGTGTAACAACGAAATGAGTCTTTATTGCATCATTTTCCAACGAGTTATTGCTGATTGTGAGCCAAGAGAGCGGGAGAGAAGTATGGGCGAGCAAGAGCAGTTAAGAGGGTATTCAAAAAGTAAAATATTTGTGGCAAGAAAAACTTTGCTGTGTTCATGCTGCCATCACTTTGACTGCCTGCCACTGGGGACCCTCAATTATGCTCCAACAAAAAAAAAAAAAAAAAAAAAACGTTGGAAAATATAAAAGGAATGCGCAGAAAAAACAGTTGTGAATTTCATTCATTTATGTGGCTTACAACTTGAAAAGACTTTGAGTGCTACCTGCCTGGCACGCATTCAACTATTTCTTTACGAGAGGCAAGGGGCAGCTGTTGCAGCGGTGGCACTATAATGCAATTGTGTATGGCAAGCACAAATTGCACACAGCAGCTGTTAGGTGCGGAGAGTCGCAAGGGGAGCGCAATCAATGCACGCATGGCAAATATTGGCAACTTCATACTTTTCGGGTGAAAGTTCTTTAATTTTTGTTTGCTCGTTATTTTTTTTTTTTCGTGTACCGATTTTGTGAGCTCTATGGTATACTTCTATGAGTTTTTAGTACTTTTTTATCACGGTTTTGATATTTTTTTTTTTCAAAACTTATACATACTTGCACTTATTTCTACTTGAACAACTTACAGTCTTATCTTGCAGCAGCGATATTCTGCAATTCAAATGTATGCTGCTACCCGCCTGCACTGTCATATTTGTTGGCTGTCCCACGCGTTGCACATCCTCAAAGTGTGGTCCATATCTGCGCTCACATACATACATACATATGCATGCACATGCATGAGTAGTTTTCATAGTTGGCGGCGGCAATCGGTATCATGCGGCAGGTGCAAATCGAGTTGTTGAGTTCGTAGCGTTTGTGTCAAATGGCAGCAAATTACAATGAAAATAGACAACAAAGTATGTTGATTATTTGATACGAGTATTAGTGCAAGTTGAGTGAGTCAAAGATTTTGTGTGTGGGTGTGTGTGTGTGTAGATCTGTGGGTGAGATGAAACGAGCACGCATACGCTTGTTCACATTTGGCTCTATAAAAATATATGTATGTATGTACAATTGTATAATATGACATACTAGTGCGAGTAGTATTACCAAATTCCCATTTATTTCAACTAAAATGAAAGTTTATGCATTTTTATGTGTGGTAAGTCGGAAGGAAAATACTATATAATATGCGCATTTATTGCAGAAAGTTTTTTTGACGCTCAACTGGCTGCAGTTCAAAAGTGGTTTCATGCGAATGCCGAATGCATATATATATAGAGTATTTATTTGAAAAGTTTAACTTATAAATACTTATGTTCACACCTTGCAAATGCAGCCGGAACAGAATAATTGCAACTAAGTGGATACTTTCAAAGATAACACATGAATGTAGTAGTTATGTGGTGGCAAGTCATTTGCAGCGAAAAATTCTAAATGCTGTAAAAGCTATTATTATTATGTTTTATTGCTGTATTTGAATATGATTGTTTAAATTTGAAAAGTTTTACCAACTTTTCGATACATTCATATGAATGGATTTCAATGAAGTTGTATGGTGGAAAATGTTTAGCAAAGCAGAGAGAAAATTTCGGCGAAAAGGGCGAACGGGTCGAAGGTATTAATCGAAATTAGAAGTAATCCCGTTAAATAATGCACTATGCGCTGTAAATTGAGAAATGTGATATCATACTTTCATACTTTTTACTCAGATTTTTAGAAAAATTTTAGGTACGCAGTTTTATAACCCATTAAATTTTAGTAAGATGAAGTGCAAGTTTCAAGAGGCTAAACATTACCTTTGATTTTTTTTAATTTTTTTCGCATTTGTTTCCATGAAACGAAAAAATACAATTTATTTTTATACGGAAGAAAACCGCAATAATTTCGGCAAAAAAAAATTCAACTGTATTTTTTAGCCCGATGAAACTTTCACTTCCTCCTACTATAATTTAATGGGATATAAAAATACAAACATAAAATTTTTCTGAAAATTCTGAATAAAAAGTTTGAAATTTTGTTGAAAATTGGATGAATTTTTTTAAATTTTTTGTAATGCTTATTTATATGCAATTTATTACATAATGTAATATATTAAATAAACAAAAGTAATATAGTCAAATATATATATATATTTTATTGCAATCGGTCAAATCACTTGGAGGTTATGGGACATTATATGTATCTATATACATTAGGGTGGTCATTGAAAACGAAATGAACGGTTTTTTCAGTATCACCCTCTCTTTAGGTAAAAACACGGTTACAGATATTAAGTATAATTTTGGTCCCGATTGGAGTCGGTTAAAGCGTGTGACAGAGGGATCAAAGGGGTCAAGGCCAGATGCCTCTATGCTACTACAGTTGAAGAAATGCATCAGATATAAATTTTGGTCCCGGTTGCAGTTGGCTAAGACGTTTCCATAAGGCACTTTGAACTTCGACCCCTGTGTCTTAACCGACTCCAATCGGGGCTAAAATTTATATTTGATATTTTCGACTATAGGAGCATCGACGTAGGAGTAGGGGCTTAGGAAATCTGATGTAAAAATTTCCTTCCAACATTTAAGGATCCCCTAATATACAAATTTCAAGTTCGGTTGTTCGGCACGCTAAGCTAGAAAGCGTCTTGAGCGATTTGAATATGTTTTTTTTTGTTTGTTGGCTATAATGGACGGTATCAAAAGAAAAACAACTTGTAGAGTTGCCAACAGTTTAAAAATTTCAATTAAGTAAGAATGGGTGTCAAAATAAAAAAATTTAAGAAGGCTTACAGCCGAAGATACTCTCGAGGAGGGTTGTCCCCTCTTTCAAAAATTAAATTTAATTAAGTTGTTCTGATAAATTAAATATCGCCTTGTGTATATCAAACAACAGAGGTTTAAAAAGGCTGACAGCAGAAAATTTTTTTAGGAGGGTTACCACCTGTTTGAAAATTTGAATGTATTTGAAAAAATGTTAAAGAAAATTAAATATTACTATAAGGATATCAAACAAAGGAACTTTAAGAAGGATTACAGTCTAAAATATTTTTGAGAAGGATTTCCGCCTATTTAAAAAATGTAATTGAATAAATAGATAAGATAAACAACATATTACAATATGGGTATGAAAATAAAGAGGTGTAAAAAAGTTCTCATTCGAAAATATTTTTGAAGTGGGTTGCCACCTATTTTAAAAATTTGATCAAATTAAATTGATAAGATAAATACAATATTGGTGTCAAACGAGAGGCATTAAAAAAATCTTTCATTCAGAAATATGTATTTTTAACTGAGTTGTCATCTATCTAAAGAGTAAAAACTAAAATAAGTAATAAAAATGTTGACTCATTTGAGTAATCTTTTATTTAATAAAGGGTCAAGCGACATAATTAATCTAAAACATATAGTCAGCAAAACGTGGTTTAATGCTTCAAAGAACTATCGACTTTTTCCACATTTTGATCAGCTATGTAAATAGAAGAAAACTTTAGTGCCCGGTAGACTTCCAAAACTAAACCGCAGTATTTGAGAAAAACTTAGCCAATATTGAGTTTCATCGCTGGCAATATTTGGTGCATAATATCTTTACACCACTGACTTAGCTCAACGGTCAATTCCCAGATAATTTTTGAACAGCGATAGACTTACGCCGTACATAACATCTGCTTTCATATTTGAAACTTTATAATTAAACCAGGGCAAACTTTCTGGAGTTTAACTTCAAATTTATAAAATCAATATTGAAGCAGAATACTGAGGAACATATAAGGTTTTAACCATTATAATCTCCTTAATGCCCTTAAATTATTACATTATTGTATACAATTAAGTCAAAAATCCTGCATAGAATTATTTTCCAAAATATCTTAACAAATTGAACAAGACTCGTATTACTTTCAGTACAAGTAATTCAGTACTTAGAAGTTTGCTTAACCATTGTTGATATCACAACTACTATTTTCAAAATAGCAAAATCTAGTTTTCTTGTATGTTAGATATACAATTGTCTTTGAACAAATTTTAAATTACACAAAATATTTTAGTAAAAACGACATGTGACTCAACTCAATTTTCTACATTTTGCTTTTCATGCATTTTAAAATACATTTCTTGTTTTTCCAGCAGCACTTCTACAAAGGCCAAACATTTTTCTGAACTTCTGCACATTGCAATTGTTGGTCATTTGATACATATGCATGTGTTAAACTCAATTTCGAAAGATTTTTTTCAAAGCACACATAGGGACTGATGCTCAAACGGACGACATTGCGTATACGCAACATTATGCCATTCGGTCATTTGTACATATGTATGCCTGAGGGTATATCTATGTGTGCATGAGTATTATATACATACATACACACATTAGTATATTTGTGTATTCAGTGTAATATAGTAAAAATGCATATGATACACATGCTTAACAATTCTTTTGATGTCATTCCCATTTAAAGAATAATCTTTTTGTTAAAAAATTCCTCGAGCATTTACGTGTATGTGTATACGCAAGTGTATATGTATATATTTGGCAATATAAATGTATTGTATAATGTTTGTATGTATGTACAAATGTACAAATTGCATTTATGTATGTATCGTATGTATGAAAACGCACCAAGTGTTCGGAGGGGCGTATGAGTGACCTACTTCTGCTGAATGAAACAAAGTACGTATTTATGTAATCACTGAGCAATTCGCTTTTTACACTGGCACAATGTGATTTTGGCGAAGTCATTAAATCGCAACAAAAGTTTAAAACTAACTTATTTGAAATTCAGAAGAATTTCATATTTACTGAGACTGTTTGTTTTTTTTTTTTGTTTGTCAAGTCATCTTATATTTCGTGGAAAATTATTTCTTACTGCATAATGTAATTATCTTTTGAAATATACTATTGATATTAACATTTTTGTTTGCACATCGAACTCTAATGGGGAAAAACGTTAGCAACATTTTTTCGAAAATTTCTCTTTGATGCAGAAATGTTTCTACACCTTTTCCAACAGTATTTCAGAAAAACGCAAATGTATTTCAGAAAAGGCCAAACGTATTTCATAAAACCTCAAATGTATTTCAGAAAAGCGCAAATGTATTTCAGAAAAA